AAGAATAAAGATCAACTATAAAATTCTTTAACATAAAATCCAATTTTAGTCTTTTAAAACAAAGATTTTGCTGACTGAAAATAAACTTGAACTAGGCTTAATTTATTTAAAGTAAGTTTTATTCTTTATTTTTTTATGGCACCTCAAAGTTTTACATAAAAATATTTTCATAGGATCTCAATAATTCTATTATAATAGAATATGAAAAAACAACATCACTTATATTTAGCCATTCATTTTTTGTGAACATATAAATCTTTTTTTTTTTTGCTGTGTGTGTGAAACAGGGCTGACAACATCAGGGGGCTGGGGGGTCTTTAGGAAATTTAAAGTCAACACAGGACAGAGATTTCTTTTTGTATCTAGAAATGGTGTGAATAAAGGAAAGGAAGTAGTGGTACAGAGTAAGGAAATACGAAAAGGATTTGATAAGAGATGTTTGTTTCAGTGTCGCCCAGAGGATGTTGGTTGGTGATGGGGGGACTTTTTTTAGAAATTGACGGTTGTGCTCCTCGAACTTCGAAACCTGTGTCGTCGGCCATGTGAAATTTTTTTTTTCCTGATTATATGAATTTATCAATAACTATAGGTAATTTCTATCTTTTAAACTAAATGTTTTAAACTAAATCTTAAACCAAAATACAACTTTTTAAATATGCCTAAAACATTTCTCATCTGGTTAGACTATTTAAGACCCAGGCAAAGACAAATTTTTTAAACCGCTGGCTAATCATCTTTTTAGTAACTTTTTAATTTTTAAAGTTCTTGGAGCACCTTAAAATAATTAGAGTATTGGTTGATATCAATAGAAACATTTTGTGCACCAAGGAAAAATAAATTAAAAAAAACTTGACAAAATCCTCAAAAAGTGATCTACTATCTGTAGATCACTTTTTGAGGATTTTGGGGGATTTTAAAGTCCTTGCAGCATCTCAAGATAATTTCTTAGAACATTGCAATTCTAGTGAGTATTTCTTATATGAATGGACAACTTTAGCAAAACCAAGCAACATGAATGAAAAAAATTTTACCACACCCTATTGAATAACTCAAAGTATGTTTAATTTATTTTTAGGCTTTTATTAATTCCTTATTAAGAATGCCAGGAAAAACAAATTAGTTAAAAAAACATATAGTTTGTTATTTATCTTGTTCTCATATCAACTAGAAGATTATTTCCTAGCAGCACAGTTTCCTAGCAGCACAGTTTACTAGCAGCACAGTTTCCTAGCAGCGCAGTTTACTAACAGCGCAGTTTACTAGCAGCACAGTTTACTTTTAATTAATATTTTATTTAAAATCTGTATTGCAATATTATTTTAAAGAGCTAGATTTATTTCTTAAACAATTTGTTAGGCACTATACTTTTGTTTCACTAAATCTGTATATACTATTATCATAAGTAATTTTCTGTGTCTTCCATATCTGATGTTGTCCTATGTGGTGACAGTTTTTTTGTATTTAATAATTTTTGATTTTGAATATAGTACATTTGTACATTCTGAAACTATTAAAATTTAAATCATTTGTTGGTAGCTTTTTGAGAAAACTTAGTAAGAAGTTTTATAAATAACCATTTTTCCGAATTAAAATAAAATTTTTCTGTCAACCATTATAGTTGTTTACTTTATGTAATTGCAGCAGCCTGATTGGCTATAATAATATTAATTTCTAATTGGCTTATAATTTTTGCTTTTCAAAAAGACTTTAACAATATTTATAAACACACTTAAGCAATAACAGCGACATTATTTAATCATTTAAGTAAAAAAATTATATAAACTTAAATTTAAGAGTCAATTAAAAATACAGAAACAAAAAATAGTTCCTATATTTTTAATTGACTCCTATATTTTCTAAATTAAAAATATAGGAACTAAAAATAGTTCCTATATTTTTAATTGACTCTTAAATTTAAGTTAATATAAGTTTTTTACTTAAATGATTAAATAATGTCGCTGTTATTGCTTAAATGTGTTTATAAATATTGTTAAAGTCTTTTAAAACAACAACAATTATAAGCCAATTGGAAATTAATGAATATTATTATAGCCAATCATGCTGCTGCAATTACAGAAAGTAAACAACTATAATGGCTGACAGAAAAATATTATTTTAATACGAAAACATTGTTATTTATAAAACTTCTGAAACATTTTTAAAGAAATGCAAGCTTTGCTAAAGATCATAACGAGTATTTAAATGCTTTTGCAAAAAAAAGTAATGATTTAAGATACATTTAAACCAAATGCAAAAAACCAGGTCCAAAACAAGGAAAAAATTATGAAAATCTTATAAAGTGATTTTTTTGGGTAAACAATATCGTGTTTTAACTAAAAAAATAACTTATTATTACTTTTAGATCTTAATACTGGAGTTGTTCTAGGTGGGAAATGTGAGTGTTTTATTCGAGTAATTGGGTGTAAATATGGCACTGAAACAGCAAATTTTCCACCAATTGTATCATGTGTAACTAATACAGATATAGATCATAATCACTAATTTGAATCTTTCCACAACCAATGAAAATCTTGTTGATTGCAGAAGTGCTTTCAACAAATAAGAAAAGGTATTAAACATCCTAGCACAAAGTTAGCTAAGTAAAGGAATTTTACACATATTGTACAATCCACCTCACTTGTAACAGAAGGAAAAGTTTCATCAACCACAATCAACAATTTAGTAACTCATGACACAAAAATAACATTGAACAACTTTGGCTCTAAGAAACTTGTTGTTTCTATTGGAGTAGTTAAACCGAAAACAACTTACTTTTCACACTCAAAACTGAAACAACTACAGAGCAAACTTCATACAGAGTATAGAATGATACTACAAAATTAAAAAAATACAAATTATTTTAAAAAACATTTTTTTTTTTTAACATTGTATCAAACTTACTAGTGCCAATAAGATGTTAGAAATTGCCTGATATATATGAGTGAAAAGAGGAAGAAAAAAAAAAAAAAAAAAAAAAATATATATATATATATATATATATATATATATATATATATATATATATATATATATTTAGTAATACCACCTTTATATTATTTCCAGTATCCTGTTTAAACTGAATCTCAGCATAAGATCAGCATCAAACGAAGAAAGTTTTTAGAAAAACAAGACTTGGCAGATTTGTTTCCTCCTTTCACTCATAAATCAGGCAATTTCTAACATGTCACTAGTAAGTTTGATACAAATATTAAAAAAAATAAATGTTTATTTAAAATAATTTATATTTTTTGCTAGAAGCTAGTTAAAGTAAAACACAATAGTGAAGCTAGTTAAAGTAAAACACAATAGTGTTTTACTTTAACTAGCTTCACTAAAAAGCTTAATAAAAGTAATATATATTTTAATAAAAATATTATTTTATGCTACATTCCCACATAGTAAACAATATCAGTGCAATATTGTGTACATACGTTACAATTTGTAAACAATATTGTGTCAATATTGTTTGCTACTTGGGTTATAATTTTATTTTTTGATTAATTTGAAAGTTGATAACTTAAAATAAATCATTATCCTGGGACTTAAAGTTGTTTTGTTATTATTTAGTGTATTGAAAGAACTATTCCTGGTGTAATAAGCAATAATGTTGATGAGTTTGTTGCAACAGTTTTACAACATAGATTTTTTGAACCAGAGAATGTTGATGTTAAGAATGGGGTAGAAAGAGCCAAGGCTATCTAAAGGTTACCTCATCAATTACATTAAAGCCAGAGCTATAAGCATATTCAAGTTGAAAAAAAAGGAGTGAAATATTCTGATGAGTAGGGATTGTAAAGATTTCAAGTACACTAGAGTTCACAAAACTTTAGTTTTGGCGCTATTACCCTCTATTGATGATAAAAAAAAATAGCTAACTTTTAAAAATTGATAAATTAGTCGATGTTCTAACTAGAAAACCCAAATTGTTATCAGAAGTTATTTATAAATATGATCCTCAAAGAGTCAATCCAATAGGTCAAACAACCTAACATATTTTATACAACTATTTGATCCACTTGCAAGGGTCTTAGGGTTACTCAGAGAGGCATTAACATCTAGTTAAAACAAGTCTTATAAATTGGTTTTCTCAAAAAGCTACCAAAAAATGATTCAACTTTTGATAGTTTTGGAATGTGCACATGGACTACTTTTAAAATAAAAAGAAAAATTTCATAAGATATATTATAAGGTCTTAGTTCGCCTTCAGGGTACCCATGATACAATTGTTTTATTTTAGAGCATTTTCTATTTTAACATATTCTATTTAACATTATAGTGACAATCCTTTAAAAAAAAAAAAGGAATGTTCACGAGATTAAAAAAAAAATCAAGGAATGTTCACAAGATAAAAAAAAGGACAAGGAATGTTCACAAGATAAAAAAAAAATCAAGGAATGTTCACAAGATAAAAAAAAAAGTCAAGGAATGTTCACAAGATAAAAAAAAAAGTCATCACAGCTTTAAAAAAAAAAGCTACTTGTGCTAGTAAAAGCAAATGTTAAAAATTCTTTTAATAAAATTTAATTTTCTTTTTTTATATATTTGTTTTTACATTTTGATAAAGCATTTTAAACAAAAAAGAATGTAAAAATATAAAAATTAAAGGTCAAAAATTACAATTACTTTAAATAACATTTAGTTGACAAATACAACTAAATTCAATAGTTTTGTGCAATTTTTTTAAATATATTGAAATCCTCAAAACTGTTCAAAAAAAATTTTAACCCTAAAAAAAATAAAGCTAAAATAATTTCCAGACTTTCTTAAATATTTTTTTTTTTTTTTTGCGATATAAACATAATAATATATAACTAATATAAACTAACATAATAATATATAACTAATATAAACTAATAAAACTAATTTATATTTAATTAAAACTGTTTGATATATAATTAAAAATATTATTTTATTATTATAACTTATTATCATTTTAATGATAAGTTAATAATATTTAATATTTCAATTTAACTAATTGATTAAAAATAAATATTGAATACTTTGAAAATAACTTTTATTCCTCAAGTAGCTAACACTTAAGCGAAGAATTGAAAGCTTGTCAAGTCGCCGAATAACATCTTCAGAAAATGGAAGTAAGTTTACAAGATTATCCAACTCTTTGTTGAGCCTATCACGATGTCTTTTAGATGGGTTCACACTTTTGCTGTTTAATAGCCTTTAGAAAAAAAAAAAAAAAGAAAAATAGGTTAAAAAAATATTTCAAAAAATGGTTTGACACTTTGTGACCAAATAATAATTATGGAGTAAAAAAATTAGTGATACCAAAGGGTGTAAAAATGAAAGTAAAAATAAAAAAGCAATGGTTTTATCAATAATATAAAAATTTAGCTAATTAAATAAAATAATAATAATAAATTATAAAAACGACAATAGAAACATAATATAATTATTCAATATAAAACATAATAAAAAGTAAAATTAAACTGTTTTGAAAGAAATAAGGAGATTTTGTTTCAATTTTAACTCAATACCATTAACATTCAAAAGTAATATATATTTAAAAAATCAATGAGTTTAACTGTTTCAAACTACATGTTTGCCTTTTCTAAAAATGCTTTGTTTTTAAAACCATAACAAAAATTAGTTTTTATATTGTCTTAAATACTTAAAAATCATACAATAGTAGTAATCCACACATACTTTTATAAAAATAAGTTTTTAAAAATATATAATTCATTTTCTACCATGCTGTACTTTGAAAATATTACTAAGAAGGTAAAATTAAAATAAAATACAGCAAAAACATTTGCTAAAAACATAATTTTTTTCAACTAAAAAGTAGAAAAACTTTTTAATTTAATTTTAATAGTTCCGTAAACTAAAGATTGACAGGTCTGCGTAAGGTTTATTTAGAAAATACCTGTCAATCTTCAGTTTACGGAAGTATTAAATTAAAATTGAAAAGTTTATTTTCTACTTTTTAGTACAAAAAGATTATAATTTTAGCAAATGTTTTTGCTATATTTTATTTTCTACTTTTTAGTCTTTACAGGGAGTTACAATATTTAGCGATGTGTTTGTCTAAACATTTGTATTTAAGTCAAGCATTTTATCCTAAAGAAACGTAGTATTTGCTAATTAAAGGAGCGGAATATTTTTCTTTTAAAAGATAAAAAAATTTTATATAAAAGTAAAATAACATAAAGTACAAATATTTCATTTGCATTGCAACCCGCGTCCTCCCACAGATGTATTATATTTTTATATTAGTATTAAACTAAGTTAACATAACTTTGTAAGTTACTTTTTCAATTTTATTAAAAAAATAATTTTTCAAAAAAAAAAATTAAAAAAAAAGATTTAAAAAGAAATACAAACCCACAAGCAATCTTAGCCAATTTTTAAAATAAAAAAAAAATATTTTTAGAAGAGAACAATATATATTTAAAAAAAATTACTAACCCACAAGCAATATTAGCCTATTTTAAAAATGGAAAGATTTGTCAAGAGATTAGTATGACTATTCTAAACAAACCCGCAAGTAATTTTATGGTAAATTTTTGTATAAAATGTTACTTTTTAGCGAGCTATGGACGATAAAGAAAGTTGAGGAAAGGATCATATTAAGTGAAAGAAAAGATTATAAAATATTAAAATTTTTAACAAATGTTTTTGCTATATATTTTTTTCTACTTTTTAGTCTTTACAGAGAGTCACAATATTTAGCAATGTCAAGACATTTGAAATTAAATTGAGCTAAATGTGCGAATGGTGTAAGTACGAACTGGCATATATGCAAATTGACAAGAGCAAATTGGCATGAGTGAGCCAAAAGAATTTGCAAACATTGGCATAAATGCGCCAAATAAAATTGCAAATATTGGCATAACGCAAATTCTTATTTCGCTCTTATGCCAAATCGCACTTATGCCAGTTTGCACTTATGTCACGCATCGCACTTATGCTAGTTTGCACTTATGACAATTTGCGCTTATTAAGCCTCCCGGATTAAAGTGTAAACTGGCATAAGTGCGCCGAATAAAATTGCAAATATTGGCATAACGCAAATTGTTATTTCACTTATGCTAGTTCGCATTTATGCCGATTCGTGCTTATTAAGCCTCCCGGATTAAAGGAGCAGAATATATATTTTTTTAAGGATAAAATTTTTTTATATGAAAAGTAAAATAAGATACAGTATAAATATTTCATTTGCATTGCCACCCTTGTCCTCCCACATACGTAATATATTTTTATATTAATATTAGACAAAATTATGTTGTAAGTTACATTTTTTAATTTTATTTGAAAAAAAAAATTTTTTTCAAAAAGAAAGTATTAAAAAAAAAGATACAAACCCACAAGCACAGTATTAGCCGGTTTTAAAAAATAAACATTTATTAATGATATACAACTACTTTAGAAGTTTCTAAAAAAGCCTACAGTCTTAAAACATTGAAATTAGGTCCATTTATATATAGAAAATAACCTATAGGAGAGTAAATTTAAAAATTGAAATTTTTTAAAAATGTATCCTAATAAGAAAAAATAATACAGAAACAATAATTTCAAGACATTTCAAAAATTTGAACCAAAAGTTTTCTATCAAAACAGGATTTCAAAAATCAAGGTTTGTCATTTTCAATTTGTTATATAGTCAAGTGTTATTTTATTTTCAAATAATGCAATTGATATTTTTAGTTACAAATGTACAAGGTAGCATTATTTATAGCTATATAACAATAAATTTTATTTCTAAATAAAATAATAAACAATACTACTTAAAGAGTTAAAATGAGCAATAAAAATTGTTATACAGGAGCTTCACTAAACTTTGTCATAAAACTTTGTTTAACGGTAGTAAGAAAGTAGTGATGTAAATTTACCCAGAAAACTTTCTAGTAAATTTAACCATAAATTTTAAATCTGTAAGGTTAAATTTCATGTATAAAAAAAAATAAAAAAAAAATTAAGAAAACTTTAGGAAATCATTTGAGAGATACAATTATTGAGTTATTTTAGAAACTACGAACAACTTCTTCATAAATTGTGCGTTTTGTACAAATATAATGGTTAATAAAATTGTTCAATTTCTTAAACAAATTTAATAACCAATATAATTGTGCAAAATGCCCCTCTGTCTTAGAAAATAAGTAATTTTAATGCATGATATGTTTATAGGATTAATGAAGTTAAACTTAATTGTAACTGTTTAATATGGCTTTTTTAATTTTTGAGAGTTTTTTTGTATGTTATTTTTTTCTTAAATAACATCGCCCAGTTTTTTAAAACATTTTTAAAACAGGATGTTGATTAGATAAAATTTTTGTCTTAATTTGCATCGACAATATTTTTATTTTAACTAGTTTTGCACGGACTGAATAATTTAAGGCAGGTAAAATGTTATTAAAATAGTGGCTTTTAATTTAATTTATATTTGTAAAGATGTAGGAGTATTAGTAATACAAAAAAACATTGCTAAGTCTTTTTTTTTTTAAGTGAATTATCTGGTTTTGCAAGTCTACTCCTCAAATGGTATGTACCAACCCTCGGAATTAGGAAAAATGAGGTCGGCAATAATTTGCCAACCTCAATCTTTTAGAAATCGGCATCAGTCGACAAAAAAAAATTGATATATAGGTCTTACTATAAGACATAGAAACAAGGTCGGCAATTTTCTGCCAACCTCATTGCTGAATGCCGACCCTAGTTCTGAGGGCTGATGTACATTTTTTTATCTATTGCTTTATACCAATAAAAAATGAATTAAAACAATCTAATTTCAAAATGGAAAAAAACTTATTTCAAAAAACAAATATTAATTAGTAATTTTCTCTTTTTGAAATGTTTATTTATATTAACCCCCAATTTTCGTCCTACATACATTTAAGTATGCAGTTTACTGTCAACACCTTTTTTAGTGTGCAGACTTTATTGACTATCCTTGAAGCAAAAATTTGCTTGTTATGACTAATTTAGAAGTCAATGATAAAGTTATTTTTCAAAATATAAATGCAAGCGGTTTTGATTAATGTCTTTGCTTTATATATTCTTTATTTATTGATTTACAACTAGAAGGTTGTTAACAACCCGTGCAAAAATGCAAAACGGGTTAATAAATATAACTCAATAAATTTTTACTATAAAAAAATGTTTCCTGCATGTTAATCAAAAGCATTGTGTAATAGTTGAAAATCTTATAACTTTTAAAGAAATCCTTTAAAAGTTTCCAATTCCTTACGATTCTTGAGATATTAAGGTTTCAAATTTCATATTTATACTAACACATTTTTTTGCAACAATAAAGCGCAAAAAATACGAATGTGCGAATGTTTTTAAAAAAAAAGACACAAAAACGAACTTCATGTTTCTTTGCATTTATTTCAGTAAACGTTGGCGTTTTTTTTTTTTTTTTTTTTTAACATCTTCACTTCCAACAAGGCTGCAAGCAACCACTATAAGAGTTGGAAGTTACTGGAAGAGAAAAGACTAAATCTGTACAGCAAGATAACGACTGATGACTTAAAAGATTGCAAATTATATGAATCAGGAAAGCAAGATGAAGGAAGCGAATTCCAAAGAACTGATGTTCGAGGAAAAAAACTAGAAGAATAAGAGTTTTTGAAGCACTTAGGAACAGTCACAGAAAAAGGATGAGACTTAATTGAATGGCGAGTAACACGAGAATGAATTTTAGTAGATGGCACAAGGGACGCTAGCTCTTTAGAGCAGTGCCCATTATAGTATTTGTAGAAAAGAGAAAGAGAAGCAACATTACGACGATGTGACAAAGGTTTGTTCAAAAAATTTTAAAACGAACGTATAACTTCAGCAACTTTTTTTTCTAATTAATAGTTTTTTATTTATAATAAAAAAACAATTAGTTAATAAAATTTAAAACTTATTTTAAAAACTTTAAAAGAAACCAAGCTAAAACAGGATTACTTTCATTAAGCTCTTACATATTTCTTTGGTAAACATGTTTCTTTGTACAACCATTCCCGACACATCGAATTCTTACATTGCAACATTTCTGTGAGTAACTGTACTCTACACTTTTTACATTTTGCAACTTTTAATTGTTTGGCTGCTGGTACTTGTTCTTCATTATTGTTTTGCTGAGGCTGCTCAGCATTGTTATGCTCAGGCATTTGAGTACTTGGCATAGAGAGTTTACGCTTTATATTAAGTTCAGTAACTTTCACGGCTTCTTTT